GCCCTCTCCCCTCAGTCCCTCACAGAACTCCAAGTCCCCCCGTGCCCTCTCCCCTCAGTCCCTCACAGACCTCCAAGTCCCCCCGTGCCCTCTCCCCTCAGTCCCTCACAGACCTCCAAGTCCCCCCGTGCCCTCTCCCCTCAGTCCCTCACAGACCTCCATGTCCCTCCGTGCCCTCTCCCCTCAGTCCCTCACAGACCTCCATGTCCCCCCGTGCCCTCTCCCCTCAGTCCCTCACAGACCTCCAAGTCCCCCCTGTGCCCTCTCCCCTCAGTCCCTCACAGACCTCCAAGTCCCCCCGTGCCCTCTCCCCTCAGTCCCTCACAGACCTCCATGTCCTCTGTGCCCTCTCCCCTCAGTCCCACACAGACCTCCAAGTCCCCCCGTGCCCTCTCCCCCTCAGTCCCCTCACAGACCTCCATGTCCCTCCGTGCCCTCTCCCCTCAGTCCCACACAGACCTCCAAGTCCCCCCGTGCCCTCTCCCCTCAGTCCCTCACAGACCTCCAAGTCCCCCCGTGCCCTCTCCCCTCAGTCCCTCACAGACCTCCAAGTCCCTCCGTGCCCTCTCCCCTCAGTCCCTCACAGACCTCCAAGTCCCCCCGTGCCCTTCTCCCCTCAGTCCCTCAACAGACCTCCAAGTCCCCCCGTGCCCTCTCCCCTCAGTCCCTCACAGACCTCCATGTCCCTCCGTGCCCTCTCCCCTCAGTCCCACACAGACCTCCAAGTCCCCCCGTGCCCTCTCCCCTCAGGTCCCTCACAGACCTCCAAGTCCCCCGTGCCCTCTCCCCTCAGTCCCTCACAGACCTCCCTGTCCCCCCGTGCCCTCTCCCTCAGTCCCTCACAGACCTCCAAGTCCCTCCGTGCCCTCTCCCTCAGTCCCTCACAGACCTCCAAGTCCCCCCGTGCCCTCTCCCCTCAGTCCCTCACAGACCTCCATGTCCCTCTGTGCCCTCTCCCCTCAGTCCCACACAGACCTCCAAGTCCCCCCGTGCCCTCTCCCCTCAGCCCCTCACAGACCTCCAAGTCCCCCCGTGCCCTCTCCCCTCAGTCCCTCACAGACCTCCAAGTCCCCCTGTGCCCTCTCCCCTCAGTCCCTCACAGACCTCCAAGTCCCCCTGTGCCCTCTCCCCTCAGTCCCTCACAGACCTCCATGTCCCCCCGTGCCCTCTCCCCTCAGTCCCTCACAGACCTCCAAGTCCCTCCGTGCCCTCTCCCCTCAGTCCCTCACAGACCTTCCAAGTCCCCCTGTGCCCTCTCCCCTCAGTCCCTCACAGACCTCCAAGTCCCCCCGTGCCCTCTCCCCTCAGTCCCTCACAGACCTCCAAGTCCCTCCGTGCCCTCTCCCCTCAGTCCCTCACAGACCTCCAAGTCCCCCCGTGCCCTCTCCCCTCAGTCCCTCACAGACCTCCAAGTCCCCCCGTGCCCTCTCCCCTCAGTCCCTCACAGGACCTCAAGTCCCTCCGTGCCCTCTCCCTCAGTCCCTCACAGACCTCCAAGTCCCCCCGTGCCCTCTCCCCTCAGTCCCTCACAGACCTCCAAGTCCCCCTGTGCCCTCTCCCCTCAGTCCCTCACAGACCTCCAAGTCCCCCCGTGCCCTCTCCCCTCAGTCCCTCACAGACCTCCAAGTCCCCCCGTGCCCTCTCCCCTCAGTCCCTCACAGACCTCCAAGTCCCCTGTGCCCTCTCCCCTCAGTCCCTCACAGACCTCCAAGTCCCCCTGTGCCCTCTCCCCTCAGTCCCTCACAGACCTCCAAGTCCCTCTGTGCCCTCTCCCCCTCAGGCCCTCACAGACCTCCAAGTCCCCCCGTGCCCTCTCCCCTCAGTCCCTCACAGACCTCCAAGTCCCCCTGTGCCCTCTCCCCTCAGTCCCTCACAGACCTCCAAGTCCCCCCGTGCCCTCTCCCCTCAGTCCCTCACAGACCTCCAAGTCCCCCCCGTGCCCTCTCCCCTCAGTCCCTCACCAGACCTCCAAGTCCCTCCGTGCCCTCTCCCCTCAGTCCCCTCACAGACCTCCAAGTCCCCCTGTGCCCTCTCCCCTCAGTCCCTCACAGACCTCCAAGTCCCCCCGTGCCCTCTCCCCTCAGTCCCTCACAGACCTCCAAGTCCCCCCGTGCCCTCTCCCCTCAGTCCCTCACAGACCTCCAAGTCCCCCTGTGCCCTCTCCCCTCAGTCCCTCACAGACCTCCAAGTCCCCCTGTGCCCCTCTCCCCTCAGTCCCTCACAGACCTCCAAGTCCCTCTGTGCCCTCTCCCCTCAGTCCCTCACAGACCTCCATGTCCCCCGTGCCCTCTCCCCTCAGTCCCTCACAGACCTCCAAGTCCCCCTGTGCCCTCTCCCCTCAGTCCCTCACAGACCTCCAAGTCCCCCCGTGCCCTCTCCCCTCAGTCCCTCACAGACCTCCAAGTCCCCCCGTGCCCCCTCCCCTCAGTCCCCTCACAGACCTCCAAGTCCCCCCGTGCCCTCTCCCCTCAGTCCCTCACAGACCTCCAAGTCCCCCTGTGCCCTCTCCCCTCAGTCCCTCACAGACCTCCAAGTCCCCCTGTGCCCTCTCCCCTCAGTCCCTCACAGGACCTCCAAGTCCCCCCGTGCCCTCTCCCCTCAGTCCCTCACAGACCTCCAAGTCCCTCCGTGCCCTCTCCCCTCAGTCCCTCACAGACCTCCAAGTCCCCCCCGTGCCCTCTCCCCTCAGTCCCTCACAGACCTCCAAGTCCCCCCGTGCCCTCTCCCCTCAGTCCCTCACAGACCTCCAAGTCCCCCCGTGCCCTCTCCCCTCAGTCCCTCACAGACCTCCAAGTCCCCCTGTGCCCTCTCCCCTCAGTCCCTCACAGACCTCCAAGTCCCCCCTGTGCCCTCTCCCCTCAGTCCCTCACAGACCTCCAAGTCCCCCCCGTGCCCTCTCCCCTCAGTCCCTCACAGACCTCCAAGTCCCTCCGTGCCCTCTCCCCTCAGTCCCCTCACAGACCTCCAAGTCCCCCCGTGCCCTCTCCCCTCAGTCCCTCACAGACCTCCAAGTCCCCCCGTTGCCCTCTCCCCTCAGTCCCTCACAGACCTCCAAGTCCCTCCGTGCCTCTCCCCTCAGTCCCTCACAGACCTCCAAGTCCCCCCTGTGCCCTCTCCCCTCAGTCCCTCACAGACCTCCAAGTCCCCCCGTGCCCTCTCCCCTCAGTCCCTCCCAGACCTCCACGTCCCCCCGTGCCCTCTCCCCTCAGTCCCTCACAGACCTCCAAGTCCCTCCGTGCCTCTCCCCTCAGTCCCTCACAGACCTCCCAGTCCCCCCGGCCCTCAGTCCTCACAGACCTCCAAGTCCCCCCGTGCCCTCTCCCCCTCAGTCCTCACAGACCTCCAAGTCCCCCCGTGCCCTCTCCCCTCAGTCCCTCACAGACCTCCAAGTCCCCCCGTGCCCTCTCCCCTCAGTCCCTCACAGACCTCCAAGTCCCCCCCGTGCCCTCTCCCCCTCAGCCCTCACAGCCCTCCAAGTCCCCCCCGTGCCCTCTCCCCTCAGTCCCTCCACAGACCTCCAAGTCCCCCCTGTGCCCTCTCCCCTCAGTCCTCACAGACCCCAAGTCCCCCTGTGCCCTCTCCCCTCAGTCCCTCACAGACCTCCAAGTCCCCCTGTGCCCTCTCCCCTCAGTCCCTCACAGACCTCCAAGTCCCTCCGTGCCCTCTCCCCTCAGTCCCTCACAGACCTCCAAGTCCCCCCGTGCCCTCTCCCACTCAGTCCCTCACAGACCTCCAAGTCCCCCCGTTGCCCTCTTCCCCTCAGTCCCTCACAGACCTCCGAAGGGCAGTGTCGCTGTGTCCCCCCCCCCCCCCCGGAACTCCCTCCCTGCTGCCGTAACGCTCCGTCTCTCATTATCTTCAACCCTGAAAACTCATCTGTTCAACAAAGCCTTCCAACGTGAACCCCCCCCCCGCTACGTAACACTTCCCTTCTGCCCCCTGTGTTACGTCTTGTCCTTATATGTTTCTTGTTAAGCGACCTTGGCTTAATGAAAGGCGCTTTATCAATTAAGGTTATTGATATTATTATTAAACAACAACACAAGCTGCACATTTGATCATTTATGAACAGAACATTTCACGTCCCGTATTTTGTAGAAATTCTATTTCCAGGAGAAAAACTTGATTTCATTTTTTAACGACTCATTTTAAAAGCCTTGAATCAACATAAATATGTGCCTCATGTCGAGTTAAACTAGATATACTTCTTCATGATGACGGGCTGAATAAAGGAAGGGTCTTCATGATGACGGGCTGAATAAAGGAAGGGTCTTCATGATGACGGGCTGAATAAAGGAAGGGTCTTCATGATGACGGGCTGAATAAAGGAAGGGTCTTCATGATGACGGGCTGAATAAAGGAAGGGTCTTCATGATGACGGGCTGAATAAAGGAAGGGTCTTCATGATGACGGGCTGAATAAAGGAAGGGTCTTCATGATGACGGGCTGAATAAAGGAAGGGTCTTCATGATGACGGGCTGAATAAAGGAAGGGTCTTCATGATGACGGGCTGAATAAAGGAAGAGTCTTCATGATGACGGGCTGAATAAAGGAAGGGTCTTTCCAGTGATGACGGGGACTGAATAAAGGAAGGGTCTTCATGATGACGGGCTGAATAAAGGAAGGGTCTTCATGATGACGGGCTGAATAAAGGAAGGGTCTTCATGATGACGGGCTGAATAAAGGAAGGGTCTTCATGATGACGGGCTGAATAAAGGAAGGGTCTTCATGATGACGGGCTGAATAAAGGAAGGTTCTTCATGATGACGGGCTGAATAAGGAAGGGTCTTCATGATGACGGGCTGATAAAGGAAGGGTCTTCATGATGACGGGCTGAATAAAGAAGGGTCTTCATGATGACGGGCTGAATAAAGGAAGGGTCTTCATGATGACGGGCTGAATAAAGGAAGGGTCTCATGATGACGGGCTGAATAAAGGAAGGGTCTTCATGATGACGGGCTGAATAAAGAAGGTCTTCATGATGACGGGCTGAATAAAGGAAGGGTCTTCATGATGACGGGCTCTGAATAAAGGAAGGGTCTTCATGATGACGGGGCTTGAATAAAGGTAAGGGTCTCATGATGACGGGCTGAATAAAGGAAGAGTCTTCATGATGACGGGCTGAATAAAGGAAGGGTCTCATGATGACGGGCTGAATAAAGGAAGGGTCTTCATGATGGACGGGCTGAATAAAGGAAGGGTCTTCATGATGACGGGCTGAATAAAGGAAGGGTCTTCATGATGACGGGGCTGAATAAAGGAAGGGTCTTCATGATGACGGGCTGAATAAAGGAAGGGTCTTCATGATGACGGGCTGAATAAAGGAAGGGTCTTCATGATGACGGGCTGAATAAAGGAAGGGTCTTCATGATGACGGGCTGAATAAAGGAAGGGTCTTCATGATGACGGGCTGAATAAAGGAAGGGTCTTCATGATGACGGGGTACGTACCGTGGAAGCATTGCCCCTCCGACAGGGTGCTGATGTTCCTCTGCTTCTTACAGGACGCTCTCCGGAGGAAGCACTCGTTCTGATACGTGTCTCCGTTCGAGCCGCACACAGGGACGTACTTCTTATTACACTGAAACACACCATTAAATATATTCATTAATACGTCAGGTTTAAAGAGTTGTGATTGGTCAACCAGCTTAGAGATGTCCCGCCCCTTAGCCTGTCATGTACAATGTGATGGAGCGCGAGCCAATAGGAGCGCGAGAGTGACACACAATGATTTATATTCATGAATAGGTCACTTTTAATTCAGAGATTACCTGATTTTCTTTATTACTTTACAACTCTCAATCCAGAAAATACCCACATTTTCTTTGTATTATTTAATATAATATTCTAAGAGAAATATACATTTATTTCTCTTACATTTTAGAGTTTTTTCTCCTATTTTCACAGCTCAATGTTGGGAGAAATTCAACGTATTTTCTCGTAAATGTCATCAGTTCTTTATCACTGTTATAATACCTACATATCTACCTATTGTTGTCTACATGTAGTGTGTGTGTGTGTGTGTGTGTGTGTGTGTGTGTGTGTGTGTGTGTGACTCACGTGGAACTGGCACACACACTTGATGTCGGCTCCGTTCTCGCGGCAGCTTCCTCCGAAGCGACAAGTCCCGGCGTCACACACTCTCAGGTCGCTCTTCTTCTCCGACAGATCTGGAAATAAATAAGACATATATTAAAAAAACACACACACACACACGCACACACACACGCACACACACACGCACACACACACATCGTCAGAGGAGAGAAATATTGTTATTTGGCAATAAAAAGAAGCAGAACACTTAAAAAATGGGTCGTTCTAATTTCAAAATGCAGTAGAAAATAGAGGACATTTAGTGTTTGGAAACACCATACCAAATCCACACACAGATAACACACACATACACACACTAATATCCAGGGTAGTAATTCCCTGATCTGCTGGCAGCTGATTGGTCACCGTTGCCTCAGGCTAGCCAATTAGAGCGGGTAATGACAGGGGTCGTGACCCCCGTTTCCCCTGTCATTAGAGAATACCTCGGTGTGCTGATGCAGCGAGAACACACACACACACACACACACACACACACACACACACACACACACACACACACACACACACTGTTGCCAGGACCAGTCTAACCTAATAGTCAGCAGGTAGTGTTTTAGTGAAAGTCCTGCCACATTTCTGCACTAAAATGTGTTATTTAAGTGCATTGAATATAACACATTGTGATGATTGGTAGCAACTAATAAAGTAGATTTGAACGCCTGAAGCTGACAGAGAGCGTCTTCATGTTGCTATGGATGCTAACCTCCCATCGGACAGCCTGGTGTTGCGTCAGCAGCGTTTGAACTCTATGGGGAGTCATAGTGGGAAACCTCCGTCTACACACACTGAACACAACATGCAAACAGCCCTGTGTGAAACTGAGCATCCTGTGGAGCCGATAAACACTACACCAGGGACTGAGGCTGGAAAAAGTAAAGGCAAAATGTGCATTAGCAAATAAATCAGGAGCTAAAGACTCAAAGATGTGCGACAAAAACTAACGTTAGCATCTAAATCAGGAGCTAATGTTAGAAAGAAAGGGCAACAACTAGCATTAGCAGCTAATTTAGGACCTAATGTCTCAAAATAAGGATGAGAACTAACGTTAGCATCTAAATCAGGAGCTAATATCACAAATAGAAGAGTAAGAACTAGCATTAGCAGCTAAATCAGGAGCTAAAGAAGTAAGAAGCAACTTACATGGGGTTTATTGGATCGTTTTTAATGTGGTATTGAAGGCATTATATTTCTGTCATGGCGACGTCTCTAATGAAGCGTCCTGCAGACAGTGACGTGAACTAGATTACAGGAGAGGGTTTCTTATGAGTCAGTGAACTCAGACTGTATATATCTCTATGTGAGAGATATTTAAATAATATAGCATCATTTGTGCCGTAGTACTCACTGTAATGTTAGTGTATGCACTTCTGATTGGATGCTACATGCATTTCATTGCATTGTTTCTGTAATCTGCACAAAGTTGACTCTTATATTCAGGGTTTTTTAAGAAAGGCTGAAGTTTAAACTGACATAAAGGAGTCTTTAGTGTTTTCTCAGCTGGGGCCAGTGTGTGAAGACATGGTCCTGAGAGAGGTGGGAGGTAGAGGAGTACAAATACTTTGTTACTGTAATTAAAGGTGGGGTAGGTAAGTTTCAGAAACCGGCTCGAGATACACTTGTTGTAAAAAGACAAGTCCATGAAAAAGAAGAAAATAAAACAACATAGATTAGCTCCATGGCATAATGCCCAAACCCGCAAAATAAAGCAAAAGTCGAGACAACTTGAAAGGATATGGCGTTCCACTAAACTTGAAGAATCTCGTTTAATTTGGCATATTGCTCTCAATGAATATAAGAAAGCACTGCGTAAAGCGAGAGCAGGCTACTACTCTTCATTAATAGATGAGAACAAGAATAATGCAACATTTCTTTTCAGCACTGTAGCCAGGCTGACAGAAAGCCACAGCTCGATTGAGCCTTCTATTCCCATAGCACTCAGTAGTAATGATTTTATGTGCTTTTTTAACGATAAAATTGTTACTCTTAGAAACAAAATGAATGACCTCTTGCCTTTGACCAGTATAGTGTTATCAACAGCCCCCGGAAACGTAAGTTCTAATATTACACTAGATAGTAAACTAGAATGCTTTTCAGCCATAAACCTTGAACAATTAAATTCAATGATTCTCTCTTCTAAACCATCAACGTGCATGTTAGACCCAATTCCAACTAAGCTGTTGAAGGAAGTTTTTCCATTAATTAGCACTTCTTTGTTAAATATTATGAATATGTCTTTATTATCAGGCTATGTTCCACAATCATTCAAAGTAGCAGTGATAAAACCGCTTCTTAAAAAGCACAACCTCGATCCAGAGGTTTTAGCCAACTATAGACCTATTTCCAATCTTCCGTTCCTCTCAAAAATTATTCTTGTTTTGCTCGATCTCAGTGCTGCATTTGATACTATCGACCATGATATCTTATTGCAAAGACTAGAGCACTTAGTTGGCATACAGGGAACTGCTTTAGACTGGTTTAGGTCCTATCTATCTGAACGCTCTCAGTTTGTACGTGTCAACGATGAATCTTCCACGCAAACCAAAGTTAGCCATGGAGTGCCACAGGGCTCAGTGCTCGGACCTATTTTGTTCACATTATATATGCTTCCGTTAGGCAATATTATAAGGAATCATTCTGTAGACTTTCATTGTTATGCGGATGATACTCAACTATATTTATCAATCAAGCCTGATGAAATTAATCATCTAAATAAAATTCAAGACTGCCTTAAGGACTTAAAAACGTGGATGACCTTAAACTTTTTGATGTTAAACACGACCAAAACTGAAGTTATTGTACTTGGCCCGAAGAATCTACGAAACAAATTATCTAAGGATATACTAACTATGGATGGCATTAATTTGGCCTCCAGTGAGACTGTAAGGAATCTTGGTGTTATATTTGATCAGGATTTATCCTTTAACGCCCACATAAAATCAATCTCAAGGACCGCCTACTTCCATCTACGTAACATTGCAAAAATCAGGCATATCTTGCCTCAAAACGATGCAGAGAAACTAGTCCATGCATTTGTTACTTCAAGGCTGGATTATTGTAACTCTTTATTATCAGGGTGTACCAAGAAGTCAGTCAAGTGGCTTCAGCTGATTCAAAATGCTGCGGCTCGTGTACTAACCAGAGTTAGGAAAAGGGACCACATTACTCCTGTTCTGGCTGCCTTACACTGGCTCCCTATAGAACACAGGATAGAATTTAAAATTCTTCTTCTCGCCTACAAAGCCCTTAATGGGCAGGCGCTATCTTACCTCAAATAACTCATTATACCCTACTGTCCTACTAGGGCATTGCGTTCCAAGAATGCAGGGTTGTTGGTTGTTCCTAGAGTCTCTAAAAGTACAATGGGAGCCAGAGCCTTTTCTTATCAAGCTCCACATTTGTGGAATCAGCTTCCAGTTTGTGTTCGGGCGGCAGACACCCTATCCGTTTTTAAGAGTGCGCTTAAGACCTTCCTTTTTGATAAAGCTTATAGTTAGGGCTGATTAGATTCAGCCCCTAGTTTTGCTGATATAGGCTTAGTTGTCGGGGGACATCTTACTTCTTCCTTCTCTCTGTCTATACCTGTGTACTCTCATGTTCCCATTAACCCAGCTTCCCCAAATGTCTTTCTTTTTGGTGTCTATATACGCCGGGATCCGGAGTCATGGATGATCCTGCGCTCCTCTGTCCTGGATCGCGAGCCCTGGATCTTGAGTGGTGGCTGTGGTCCTGGATCATAGGTCCTGGATGGATATCCTCGTGGATTCATCTTACTATTATACACACATGCATTTCCAACATTTGGACTACCTATGTTGCAAATGTATTATCTTTTCAATTTACACACGGCATCTATTGCACGTCTGTCCATCCTGGGAGAGGGATCCCTCCTCTGTTGCTCTCCCTGAGGTTTCTCCCCTGTTCCCTTTAAACTGTGGGTTTTCTCTGGAAGTTTTTCCTTGTACGATGTGAGGGTCTAAGGACAGAGGGTCTAAGGACAGAGGGTCTGAGGACAAAGGGTCTGAGGACAGAGGGTCTAAGGACAGAGGGTCTGAGGACAGAGGGTGTCGTATTGTCATACTGATATTCTGTAAAAACTGTGAAGTCCACTGAGACAAATGTAACATTTGTGATTTTGGGCTATAAATAAACATTGATTGATTGATTGATATATTCCATGGAATGCTCTTAACATCCGATAGCAATGAATATCTGAAGTGCTTTGACAAAAAAAACATAAAAATCCATCACCTGTTGAAGCCGTGGCGCTGTAAAAAGCACGACCAATCATCTGAGCCGGCTAAAGTAACTGGATGGCCTACCTGCCTGTCAGCCTTCCATCTGGGCACAAACTGATCTCTGCCCTCATTGGTCATGTGCGCGTTGGTGTGTTGGGGGAGGGGCTCTGTGAGGAAGTGGCAGATTGTTTTCGGCTGTGTATTTTCAAATTCTAGCCACTCGAGCTGGTTTCTCCAACATTACCTACCCCACCTTTAAGTACATGTTTCTGGTATCAGTACTACACAAATACCTGTACTTTCTACTTCTTACATGTTGAACACAAATACCTGTACTTTCTACTTCTTACATGTTGAACACAAATACCTGTACTTTCTACTTCTTACATGTTGAACACAAATACCTGTACTTCTACTTCTACATGTTGAACTCAAATACCTGTACTTTCTACTTCTTACATGTTGAACTCAAATACCTGTACTTTCTACTTCTTACCATGTTGAACACAAATACCTGTACTTTCTACTTCTTACATGTTGAACTCAAATACCATGAACTTTCTACTTCTTACATGTTGAACCCAATACCTGTACTTCTACTTCTTACATGTTGAACACAAATACCTGTACTTCTACTTCTTACATGTTGAACCCAAATACCTGTACTTTCTACTTCTTACATGTGAACTCAAATACCTGAACTTTCTACTTCTTACATGTTGAACCCAAATACCTGTACTTTCTACTTCTTACATGTTGAACTCAAATACCTGTACTTTCTACTTCTTACATGTTGAACCCAAATACCTGTACTTTCTACT